TTGTTTGCTCTTTACTAGGGCTACTAATTATTAATTAGTAACCAGACCGTTGTCAGCTACTTGTGGCTTTTGTTTTCTCAACAGTATTAAACTTAACACAGTTAAATCTAATATTGCTTTCATGAAGACTATACTATGAAGTTTTCGAATTTTTTGTTTTGCTTACAAAATTGGGGATTAGCAGAAAGAGTTGTTTTTGAATATAAACAATATCAATATTACTATTTTTATATATAATATCATATAATAAAAATAAAGAGTACAAAAAATTTAATATACTCTATAGATATACAATATTTACATTAATTTTATAAAATTAATTATAATTCTTTAAATTTTCTTAAAAAATTTTTTAAAAAATATTAAAGAATTGTAACTAATTTTTTTTATACATATCTCATAATCTACTAAGCTAATTTTAATAATCTTATTATTATTAAAATTATAATAAGCTTTTATATAATTTTATTAAAAGCCTAGATAAAGTTATTATAATAAAAAATTAGTTTTACTATAATTGTTAATTATTATAATTTTTGTTTTAGATTAATATTCTTGTTGCATCCCATGACAATAGATTTTGTCACAGATTATATAAAATGCTAATGTATTATCATGTGATTGCAAATTAATATATATACTATATCACTTTAATATTACATACGAATAATGTCAAGAGAAAACCTAACTTAGATCATATAAATTTTATAATATAATCAAAGTCTGGTTTTCCTTTAGTATCATAAACATCCTAGGTCTATTATTATAAGAGTCTACTATTATTATAGCGATTTATACAGTATGTAAATTTAAATAATAGCCCAACTAATCAAGAAGGCGAAAGCATCGATTATATTATTCTAACTCTTAGAATAGTAGTTTAAATATTACTTTAAACTATATAAATAATGCTTGATTTATATCAAATAAAGGAGGTTTATTCTATAAAAATCAAGTTATTATATTATAAAGTATCAGACTTTAAATTATTTCTGGTCACATATAAATAGATCAGTATAACAATAACAGTAACTTTTTATTTTGTTTTCATGATTAGCTGCAGCCAAATCACTAGACATACCTATAATTTACATATATGTCTTCGCTTTTTCTTGCTACAGATTAATAATTTTAGTACATCAGCTTTCTAGAATATATAATACACTTTCAATAAACTATACCTCAAAAAACTATGTTTTATGACATACTTAAAGTGTATAAAATAGAGATAAATAATTACATATAACTCTACCTTACTATAAATTCGCTTAATAATTTTAACACATCGATGATTTTCTTGGCGTACTATCAACTTTTTAATAAATATAACTCAAAAAACTGTATTTGATACAATAAAAGTGCACAGATAATATGGCTGCTACTGAGTTCAGTAATGAGATTAGTTCGCAGAAAAATAATAATATTGAAGTCGATATTGACAATAGTAAGTATTTGCTTATAGTTCTATTAAATAATGCAACACGTATATTAAATATTATAAAATTCATTTAAATAAGCTTTTTCGGATGAAACGTCTTATGATTTTTCCTTGCTAAGCATTGGCTATACATTCCAAAGTTGGGACAAAGTTGATTTATATTTTAAAGCATATGGTCAGCAATTGGGATTTGCTATTAGTAACAAAAGAGTTGAATATTGTGACAATGATATTATAAAGCATAGATCTTTTGGATGTGAATTTGGAAAATATATAATTCTAAAAAGAGAGTTGATATTACCACCTACTATAACTGACAATCCAAATGCTAGAGATGTAAATAGCATATCAATTTAAATTTTTCTAAAGGAGCTTCTTGTATTATAGTTACAACATTTGCTAGTATTCATAGTCATAAGTTACATCCTAGAATCTGCAAGTATACTGCCAAATTTCAGGTAATTGAAGATATATTAAAAGATATTGAATTTTATACCAAGAATAGCAATCTTTCAATTACTGTACAATGACAGCTATTAAAAGCCAAGTATTCAGATAGAAGCTTTTTATATACAGATTTAGCAAATACCATTCAACACTTTAAAGTTAAATCACAAGATCTTGAGTCAGATGTGTTATAACTTTTGACATTTCTTACTGAAAAACAATCTGAAGAATCAGGATAGATAGTTGAATTTGAATTAGATAATGATAACTATTTTATTTGACTTTTTTGGATGACACCTAATCAAGTAACTCTTTGGCTTGAATATCATAACATTGTGCTTAATAATAACACTGCTAAGACAAATAGATATCAGATACTTCTTAGTTTGTTTCTTGTGCTTGATAGCAATACCAGGTCTCATTTAGTAGCATAAGCATTAATATTAGACAAGACTGTTGATTTTTATAAGTAGATTCTTCAGTATATCAAAAAAGCCACAAGGGTTGAACCATTAGTTTTTATGAGTGATGTTGATCCTACAATGGATTGTATATTTAAGCAAATCTATAATACTGCTACACTATTATATTGTATATACCATATAAATCAAAATTTTCTAAAGAATCTTAAAGGGCTGTTGGTAATAATTATAATCAATTTATAAAAGAATTTTTTTATTGTCATAATACTTTGAACGATAGATTATTTGAAATAAGATAGAAATCTTTATTACAAAAATTTCCACCTTAAGCAAATTATCTAAATAAGTTCTTTATCCTAATTGTCATACATGGGCTTGCGCCTTTACATCTAAGATCTTTACTGGTGGGGTCCAAACCACATCACGAGTAGAAGGATACAACATTATTAAGTGAACACTGTATAGCAATAGTAGTCTATGTAATCTAGTTAATGCTTTAGATTCTAGACTTGAAAAAGAAGCTGAATGGAATTGCTTCTTCAAATATCAAACATTATCTATATGTGTTGAAATCGCTTCTGTCAGAAATGAGATGTTTCCTGTTATTGATCAAGCATTATCAGAATACTTGACACCACATATTCTTTCTGTAGAGCATGTTAAAATGGCTTAATACTTATATTTTAGTGCAATCACAACTACTTGAAAGTAGTCAATTTATTTAATGAGATTAGAATTTACATAATCATGAAATAGTATTTGAAATAATTATTAGCATTTTTTTTTTTTGATATATAGTTGTAAATTAATTATAATAAAAATGATAATTGATTCTATATTTCAAAAATATAAATAATGCAATAGTTAATAATTTTTTAACACTAGAATCTTTTATATTTTGGAACTTGATCCTATTCTTAAAATGATAGCCCTAATTATGATCGATTAATATTCCTATTTTTGAAAATTCGTAATATTAATGTTTATATTTGCTAACTTCTAATTAATTTGGTTCATTAATAGAAGGAAGATATAGAAAATAAATTTATTGAGTATATATATGATGTGAAGCAAATTCTACTCAAATTAATGGTTGTGAAGGTCGATCAAAATAATGTTTAAAAAATTTGGCAAATTACTAACAAACGACCAGAAAACAATAAACAAATCCATTTTATTATTATTATTAATTCTGTGTCTTATTTATGCACTTGTATGTCCAATATTTCTCAGGGTATTGTATGCTGTCACTATTTTCAGATAATACTATAATATTTAATATTGAAAGTATTTATAGGCCTTTTTCTACTTGACTTTGCTACATAATATTGTATTAACCTCTGTGCACAACTAACTTGAAAATAAAGTAAAAAATATATTATATAATAGAATTAATTAGGAAATAAAGTTTTCAAATTAACATGCATACAGAGATTAATACAATATTATATATTATACATAGTAAAGTCAGATGGAATTAGGCTATGTATAATTATCATAGATTCTGTATTTAATTAAGCACAGACATATTTAATACTTTTTGAGGCATTACTATATACTATCTTTAGGTCATACTAGTATCACAATTAGCTAGATTTCATATTAGAATGATAACACCATGTTGGTATCGTGATAATAAGAAAGATGATATTGATCTATTTAATGTAATTTTTGTAAATGAAAATGCTATTCATATTCAATACAATTAAATTATACCAATAATTCCTCAATCGTTTATTATGTCTTAGTCAGTAACAATGAATAATCGACATACTGCAGCTTGATGTTTCAAATATGATGAACTATAGAGTCTTGTGTGACAAGCAGCACAGCTTGCAGTTCAATGTAATGATAATGAAATAGTTCAATGGTTAAAAACATTTATTGATAAGAAAAAACAATTTTTGGAAAATGGTCAAAAAACTAATGATAGTAAAAAAGAAAACTTAGCAGTTGCTAATCTGCCAATAACTAAACGCAAAGGCAGACCTAAAATTAAAAGATACAAGGCTAGTGCCGAGAAGACATGGCATCTGTATATTTGTTATACTTGTAGCCAAGCTGGTTATAATAGTGCAAGATGTAAAAAGAAAAATGAGTAATTCTAGTATATATAGTACATATATATTTGAAATATGATGCTTAAAAATTAGAATTATCAAATCTTTTTAAATTATTGTATAAAGAAAATGTAAATAATCTTATGAAGTAGCTAATTTTTTATTAGCCTAAATAAATAAATATTTATAAAAGTAATGCTTGAGAACTGATCCAAAATATATAACTGAAAATGGTTAACAGTTTCAAGCCATTAGTATGCTATTAGAAAGATATAATATTCATATATATCTCTCAAATCACATATTAATGGATATAAAATTGTTCGTTTAACTTAATTAATTTAGGTATGTTAAATATATTTATCTTAGTATGTCAATATAAAGGTTCATTTATAAATTGTATAATTTATATTGTAACAGAAAATCTAATTGACAAATCAGCAAATAAAAAACTAAAACCTTCTAAGGTTTGTTACAATTTTTTTTTAATCCTTTTTCTTGCTATTTGTATAAATTTTCTTTTTTTTAATTCTATTACCTTTACTATCTTCTTATTATATCAACCATGGTCTAACTGCACTACTATCTAACAATACTAAGCAATAACAAGTTTTAATATTTAAATAAAAGATATCCTGATTTTCATTAATAAGTGTCTGGAAATGGTCATCATATGTATAAAAAAAACTGTAAATTTGGTATTAAGCAAAAGATTTACTACAAACTATAAATTATTTACAGATAGTATATGAATTCTATTTTGTGAGCTAAATAAGTTTGTTTATATAAATAAAAATTAAAAAAATTATTAAAAAAAATATTTTTTAAATTGTTTTTTAGATCAATTTTTTTGGAAACTTTATAATTTATCTGCAATTAGGCTATATATTATATTATATTATATAGATTATACTATTATATATTATCCCTTAAACCATCTAGCATACAAATTTGTACGCTAAAATGATTTTTGATCTATTTTCGTCTATTTGCTCTAAATTTTATTAAGCTATACCCCCTATCTTCTAAGCTAAAATAAAAGTGTACTGTTTGTTGATTATAGCATAATTCCCATTTCATGAAATTTCTTTAACGATATTCCAAAACTTATTTATTTAATATTAGCCGTAATAGGACTTTGATGTCCAAATTTAATACTAAAAAAAGAACCTGC